GGGCCCATGGCGGCTCCGCGGCCGGTGCAGGGTCCGCGCGCGCTCGACCCGTACCAAGGCCGACTTGAAAAGCAGCAGAGCCCGCCCCGCCTCCGGACCGCGCCACGAGGCCCCGCCCCCCGCCGGCCGACCTGCCGCACGCCCGGAGTGCCGCCGGCCCCGCCCACCCGCAGAGGTTCTGGGACCCGCAGCGCCCCAGTCCCCCAGCCGAGGGAGGGTGCGCCGCAGGTTCTCCGCCGGACCAGCGCCCCAATGTCGCGGGGTCTCCACGTCGAGCGTGACGGAGGCAGCACCGCACTTAACAGCGTGGTCTTACAAACTCCATCCCACCAGTACGCTGGCCGAGCGCTGCCCGGGGAGTCCCAGCTCTTCCCTTAACTTCCAGACCAGCGTGGGTAACGCGCTCTCCCGCTCTTCCTCGGTGTCCTCATCTGCGGAGCCGGCAGGGATTTGAATCAGTTCTTCCAAAGCCACGGGGCGATCAGATAGTGATGGCATATATTTACCCGCCGGGCTCCCTGCGGAGTTTTCCAACTTAGTGATGACCTACGGAACAGAAATTAGCATTATTCCTATTTTACAGATAATCGACTGAGGCGCTGCTCCACAACCTCTTGCCAAACTGCTGGGTACCGTGCGCGTGGGCGCTGGGGTTAGAAGAGCTGTGACTCGGACCAGGCAGGCTGGACAGAGAAAAGGCTGGCCCGGGAGCCAGGAAACACAGGGTCCGCCGGACTCCATTTAGGCTGCATCCCACCACCGTGTGTGACCTTGGGCAAGTTACACCACCACTCCGGGTCTCGGGTTCCTCCTTCGCACAATGAAAGGGTTGAGTAGGAAAGAAGGGGACCGGCATTTTTGCGTTGGCTACTGTCACGTTATTTTTTCTAAGTCCCCAAGTTTTTAGAAGTGTATTATTATTTGGGCCCTTTTGACAGAAGAGGAAACTGGGGCTCAAAGTTAAGTGCCTTCCAGGTACTTTCCCCCTGCACTGGGGGGTGCCGCACTGGGTGACAGGTAGGCTTAAATCCTGCGCTGACGTCTCTGATCCCGCTTCTCAGAGAGACACGTATCTCCCCTGCAAGCCCCGCACCTGAGACCCCCCCCACCACCTGCCTTGCCTTTAAAACTTTTGTGCAGTCGTAATTATTTGTCCGAACACAGAAAAATGAACACGGAGTGCAAACCTGCGCCTTTAAGAAGGGCAGTCCGTGACTTTGACGTCACCAGCTTCTCGGACCTGAAGCCGCCCAGCCAGCCAGCGCACGCGAGGTTAGCACGTGGATTCGAAGGGGCCAACCATCAGCTTTCCCTGAAACTGGCTTTGGGGCTCCGAGAGGCTTGAAAGCCCACATTTAGGAGCGGGAGAGTGCAAACTGTAACCGGTGAAGTGGCCGCTGGTCGAAAGGGCAGGGGAGAAGGTGCCTTTACATTCCCTTACCCCCCCCCCCCCATCAAGAGGAGGTCTGAAATTACACAAAATCATTTTATAAACTGTATGTATGTAAAGGCGAGAACCAAGCTTCTATTAAGGTCTTTCACAGCCTCCAAGTTACGGTTTACCCAAACACGTTCCCAGCCAACAACCAAGAGGTTACTCTCCCATGATACAGAGGAAGAAAGTGAGGGCCTTGTGTGTAATGGCTCCTACCGTGGAGTAGAACCAAGATTTCTCTCAGCAATCTCCCATTTTGCAAATAAGAAAATGGAGGCGGGAGAGGTCACAATCACACCAAGGTCACTCAAATGAAAGAGCCAGAATTCAAACCCCCAATTGCCTGAGTCCAGAGGAGCTCTCACCCCACCCCGTTCAGAACCAAGTTTCTCTGCTCCCTGCAGTGACCTGCTCACCTGTTGGAGGTTTTATCTACTCAGGCCTTGGGCTCAAGAAATCCAAGAAATGCAGCTTGTGCCTCAAGATCAGAGCACGTGGGAGGCAGGGGCCAGCGCCACCTCTAGCAAATATCTTAAAGCCTCTGTGCCTTAGCTTTCCCCTTTATAAAATGAGCTGATGGGGATAATAATGCACCCACCTCATAATACACTATGTGAGGATTTAGTAAGTTAATAGTAAGTTGATAAGTTAATAGCTGTGAAATACTTAGACCCTTGCCTATCCTGTGGCAAGCACTCAATGACTATTATTATTGATTGCCCATCCCCAGGACCTGTGGCATAGAATGTTCTAGAAAGAGCCTTTAGAGAATCCAAGTTCTGGTCCTACCTCTGCCTCCAAATGCAGACACAGATAGTAATAATTCCTGAAACACCTCCTTGCCCAGAGCCAAAGTCATACAGCTGCAAAGTAGCAGTCAGAACCAAACCTGGTGACCTCTGAGCCTCAGTTTCCACCCACAGTAGAATAAGGGGCTTGCATTCCATTTCTGGTTTTCTTCTTGCAAGAGGAGGCCTGTGAGATTTATCGCTATGCCTCAGTTTCTTCATCTGAAAATAACAGTGATGTCATTCGTCCTGCCTAACTTACAGACTCCTAGCTAAAGTCACATCTGTGAAAGCCCTGTGAAGAGTCGACAAATGGTTCTGTGGCTCCTGACAGGATCCCTGAGTTGATCAGATCACGGCCCCTGCCTTCCCCCACCGGTAAATGCTTTGAGCCGGAGAAAACCTTGGGACATCACTGGTGTGAGCAAAGCCCAGTGCAGTGGCAGCAGTCTGGACAGGTGTGAGGGCTTATCCGGGGGCAATGAGGCACCACTCAAGCTACTGGATGCATCTCCCAAGGATGGTCGTGGCAGCTGCAGGGCGGATCAGGAGCCCTGTGACATCAACAGAAGGTAGTTTATTGTGAGATTGAATTCTTCCATACAAGCCCTGCAGGGGGACAGTGCCACACCCCCAAGCACTCCCACCACCCTCACACGCCCCCTTCCCGGCATCTGGGAAGACATTTGTGGGACCTAAGTCATGCTTATGTCCTTCCCATGGACCCCACCAGCACCTGTGAGCTCACAGCCAGCACCTGTCTCCACCTGGAGCTGTCTTCCTGGAGGCCGGGCCCACAGTTGCAGGCCCACTGAGCTGGGGTGAAATCCAAACTCCAGGCTCAGTGCTAAATGCCAAGTCAGATTTTTGATTGGACCTTGAGGGCAGGAGGGGTGGGTGAGTTGCAGAAAACTATATTGGGCCAATCGGAGAAAATTGAGTAAGGCCCGTATAGTAGATATTACCTCATCGGTGTTGAATTTCTTGAGTGTGCTAACCGTGCTGTGGTTTCGTAGGAAAATGCCCTTGTTCTTCGGAAACACAGGCTGAAGTGTTTAGGGGTGAACATATGCAATGTAGTCTCAAACGGTTCAGCAAGAATAAAGAGAGATAAAACCAATGTAGCAGAATGGGAAGAACCAGTGAATCAAGGCGAAGGGCATATGGGTCCTCATTGTACCATTCAGGCACTTTTTCTGAAGTTTTTGAAGTTTTCAAAACAAAAAGTTGGTGGGGAAAGGGATTTCTCCCTCTGAAATGATTAAAGGGCCGGAAAGCAGCAAAGCTGCCTTCTTTTTTAAAATTTTTTAACAGTATCTATTTTTTTTAACTGTTATCTATTTTTGAGAATGTGAGCACGCGTGGGGGAAGGGCAGAGAGAAAGGGTGACAGAGGATCCAAAGTGGGCTCTGTGCTGACAGCTGAGAGCCCAGTGTGGGACTCAAACTGACCTGAGCTGAAGTCGGACACTTAACCGAGCCACCCAGGTGCCCCAAAGCTGTCATTTTTTTTTTTTTTTGGAGGTTAAAAAGATACCCGTAATAGCTAGGATCAACCCACCCGGGAAAAGGCATCTGTTCACAACACCTCTTGGTCCCCCACCACTGCCGTCTCCAGCACCCATGCCCAAGAGGGTGAGTTGGGGAGATTCTGGACACCCAAGGCTTCATTGAAGGGACCCTAGGTGTAGTCTGAGGAAATGGCCCCAGAGGGAAAGGGTCCTGACAGGCCCTCCAGAATTGCCTCCCTCCACCCCTATCCCAGCCCAGACTCCCAGAGCTCTTAGGGACAGGCTCTCTCCTGCTCAGCTCAGAGACAGAGTTAAATTAAAAAGGTGGGCTGGAGAATGTATTGGGTAGTTGTTCTCGTCCTGAGCGCTACCGCCCCCTAGGGGACATCTTGTGAATTTATGAAGCCGTTTGTAGTTATCACAAGACTG